GGGGGAAAGGCCTCGGGTGCGTGGCTGCCCTGTCTGCTAGCCGGCGTGGGTGCTTCCCCTGTCACAGGTGGCTGACCTGCAAGCCCCTGCCCCCGGGCGCTCTGGGAAGAATCACCGGCACCGTCGCGGACCGGGTGCGGGTCCCTTGGTTCACAGGGGCCGTCAAGATCAACATCAGCCTCGTGCCGCCTCTCGTCCTGCTGCCCGTCTTCCTCCACGTTGCTGCTCTGCACTTCCTGCTGGGCCTCATCATCTTGACATCGCTACCCGTGGTGGTGCTGTGGTATTACTACCTCACCCACAGGAGGAAGGAACGGACTCTCTTCTTCTTGAGCCTGGGCCTCTTCTCCTTGGGCTACATGTACTATGTCTTTCTGCAGGAGGTGGTCCCCCGAGGCCACGTGGGGTATTCCCAGGTTGTCGCTCTCACATGCGGGTTAATTCTTATGCTTGCAGCCCTATCTCGAGCCAAGAAAGACCCTGGCTACCTTCCCATCCCAGCAGGCAACGAGAAGTTATCACACCAAGCTTTGCCCAACAAAGGTGTTCGAGGGAGCTGCAATGGGCTACATGGCGTCACCATGTCAGGAGGTGCCAGCGGCCGTGCTGTGAATGGGGAGGCCAAAGGCTATTCCAGGGTGTCGGCTGAGGAGCCGGAAGGTGTGAAGAAGGACTGGTGCACTAAATGCCAGCTGGTCAGACCAGCCCGAGCAGGGCACTGCCGGCTTTGTGGCAGGTGTGTAAGGAGACTGGACCATCACTGTGTCTGGTAGGTTTTGTACTGCTGAGGCTATAGTATATTCAGGTTTTCTCTCTTTTTTTTTTTCTCCTTTTTTTTTTTTTTTTTTTTTAATTTTTCTTTCTCTTAAGTTAGCTTCTCCTTCTACAATCCCTGTCATACAAGGTTGATTTTGTTATGTGCAAGGCTTGGTGATGTTCTTTAAAATGATAAATTTGTACTTACCGTTTTAAAGAACGGTATCCCACTTGCAATAAACGAAATTGTTGTTAAGTGGGATGACCTCATAGCTGATAACTTCTACAGCATACTTCAGAATTGCCTGTGGTTCTCTACTGTTCTTCACCTGTTTTTTTTTTACTGGTGTGGTGCTGGTGGTGGTGTTTTTTTTAGAATCGGTCTGTGGAGTACTAGCAATCCTGCAGTCAGCTTGCATTAGTGCTCTCCTGGGGCAAGGGAACCTAAAGCTGCCTGCATGTATGCCGTACTGGAACCAAAGGGTATAGATGTGTCTCAGCAAAGGATTGCTAAAAGTTTGAGGCAAACAGTCCACCACCGTACCTTACTGGTCTATTGACTTGTGTCTATAACCTTGCCATAACAAGCTATAAAACTTCTTTGAATGTACTTCAAATTTCTTAGCTTATGTTGTATAGAAGCACCTTGAAAATTAGGTTCTCTGACAGCTGGGGGAGGGAGGAGGCAGTGGAAGCCAGCTCCTTTTCTTTTTAAGCAAAGTAATCTCTTCTTTCCTTTTGGAGGATTAACAGCTGTGTAGGGGAGCAGAACCACCAAGCATTCATCCTTGCACTCTCCTTCTTCATGCTCACATCTGTGTATGGGATTACGTTGACCCTGCACACCGTCTGTAGGGGCCGAACTCCATTTGTGGCATTGTTCTACTGCCCCGGGGCCTATTCTGACTACAGGTGAGACATCTGTCTGGGAGAGAGCTGGGGTGGGAACGGGCTTGGTCAGGAAGCTTAGCTCCTGTTCCTCATTTTGTGCTCCAGGCCAGTGCTGTTGGTTGTCAAACCTGACCAAAAAGTGCTCACTAAAAAGCTCTGGAAAGCAGGGATACATCACTGCTTCTGCCAAAGTGGGGAGCTTGAGACTCAGAGCGAGTTCACCATTTAGTTAGAAAAAGTTGTTGGAGGAGCTGGGATTTGAAGCCTTTATTGTGTCCTGTATCGATACACCCTTAAACATGTTTGCTCCCAGTTGCAGGTAACAGTCTGGAATCGGCGTGCTGTCTCTCCCTCTCATTCCTCACTGTTTTTCTAGTGACTGTCTCTCCGAGTTACCTGCTTAGAACAGACAGCATTAATATGCCTTGTCTGGCAGGGAGGGTGGTGAGAAGCATTGGACACGAGTTCAGAGACTGGCACTACCACCAATGTGCAGAGTACACTAGCACAAGTGACTACATTGTTCTGTACTCCATTTCATGATCTATTGAGTGTGAGCATCATTGTGTCCTTAAATAAGGACTGAGTACCTTTACAACAGTAAGGGTAAAGAGCTAGGTAGGGTGACAGCAATATGCAAGAGTAGCTCTGGTAGTGCTAAAAGCTCTCATTAAGTAAGCCCTGAAGCTTTAATTTTGAGAAAGCCTTTAAGGATTATCTGATGAAAGCAGAAAAGGGAGATCACTGTGGCAGATGTAGACAGGGATTTGAAAGGATAGTGATTACCGGGGAAAGTCACTCTAAAGCAGCTGCTCCAAAACTAAATGGCTTCCTTCCCATCTTTTTCCCTGCTGCCAGCTCTGCTCTGTCGTTCACCTGTGTGTGGTACTGTGCCATTGTAACAGCTGGCATGGGATACATCCTCCTTATCCAGCTGTTGAACATCAGCTACAACGTGACCGAGAGGGAAGCTCGGCTGGCTCTGCGGGACAACACTGGGCGCAGGCTCCTGGGTGGGTTAGTGATAGACACTGGCCAATATAACAAGGGTTTCCTATGCAACTGGGGCCATTTCTTGAGCCTGGGGTCTTCTCCTCCACAGCGCTCTGCTGAAGACATCGTGTGACACCCCTCTTTCTGCAGATGACATTGACTGATTTTTCTTTAGTAGGGGAACAGCCCCTTCCACTAGGACTCTCCCCTCCAAAACCCTTCCTTTGAGGTTGGCATATGGGCTGCCTATCCCATCACTGACAACATCAGAGGCTTTCCCGGGCAGAATGGTTCTCTGTGTGCTGTCAGTTAGCAATAGGATGCAGAAAGCAGTAAGCCATATGCACAAACCTGGAGAGAAGGAGCCTGCTGCTTTTTTGCACTGTGGGAAACTTTGTGCAGCTCAGCTCAGCAGGA